TCCCCCCAGCCGCTCGGGTCAGGTTCCGGCTTCCCTCCCATCCCTGCCCACCGCTTTGGCCTGAGCTCATTCCCTTCCTCCCCCCTGTCATTTCAGGTCTGGTTCCCCCCTGCTGCTTCAGGTGCAGGCCCATGCAGCCCCCAGCCCCATGCCTCCCAGGACTGGGGAGGGGAGAATAGCTTGCATGCAGTGGTGGCGGCTGGCCGGCAGCAGCGATGGGCAGCTGTGATGTGGTGGTGGCAGCCGGCTGCCGCATGCTGCGACCAGTAACCCCCCGTCTCCTTCCTGCTCCCATCCGACCCTCCCTTTCTTCCTACCCTCTTCCCTGCTGCCTCCCCCTCCCTGCTGGCTGTTGTTGGGGGGAGGGCAGGGGGGTCCCGCTCTGACCCCTGGCTCCAAGAAGCAGGGCTTGGGGGGGCCTCACCCCCCGACTCTGGTCCCTCAGTCCCCACCATCATAGCAGTGCTCTGCTGTGCAGCTCTGTCTGTTGGAGCACTCTGATTGGCTGCCAGGACAACCAATTAGAGTGCAAACAAAGCATTACAGACAGACTAAGGCTTTTATAATATTGGAATATTTTCATACAATAGCAGGAAATTATTTTTATTCATATCTAACTGTATAAATCCTCTGTTCTACTAATTTTTAACCAAATCTACTGCTACTTATTTCAGTTTAGTGTAATAATTCAGCCCTAAATTAAGCCCTAGTTTAAAATGGTTTTCCATTGGACCTTAAATGTTACATACCGCAATTAACTTCATCAGATCCATCAGCACAGTCTCTTATTCCATCACATTCAGGGTTTGGTTTCATTAAACACTTGCCATTTGAGCATTTATATGCATATGGAGAACAATTTTTAGAGGCTGAGGGAAAAAAAATACATGACTTATGAAACATCTTGAAAGGTACTTTTTCGTAGGTTACTTAGCAGAATTCTCTCTCATTAATGACTTGTGTAAGGAAGTGAAAGGTTATAGGCTATCCCCACCTGACACAGTTTTAAATTAACACCAGGTTGTGGGACAAAGAGACATTATGTTAACCACATCACACCTGTTTGCAGATGGTGGCATGCGCTACCCATGCCCACCTACTGGGCAACTAGGTTCAGGACAGAATGCAGCATATCAATAGATGTGATCAGTCCTCTGGCTGCATCGCTACAAATAATGAGGTTGTTGGTATTAATTGTAGATATACTAAACATTGATTATGATAAATCCTATGTGTTTAGGAATTCTACCTATCTCTACCCCCAAACAGTGGCATTTTATACTATCTCATTCATATTTTTGTTGTTTAATTACTGATAAACTTGTTAATTTAACATTTCTACATGGAGTCAAATTCCTAGATTTGCCCTGTGTATCTATGTGCAGTATGTGATAATATGTGATACTATGGCCAATGATGAAGAAAAAGGAGAATGTGAGGAAAGCAAGAAAGGGAGATGAAGCATATGTTTTGGAAATAGCTGCTGCTGATTGCCATGTATTAAAAAAATTGAGACGTGATAGATCATCTGCCTTCAGACTATATAGTTCATTCTGCTTGAAAAATCACAGATATTAGATATGAATTTTAATCTTTTTCATTTTAGCCGTAATGTAGATCTCTGTATTCTTCTTTGGTGCTTTCTCTACTGCAGTTTTAAAATATTTGAAACAATTATATTTCAACTACTACCTAGCAATAATAGTGGATATACAATAGATCATAACAGGGTACCATGGTGGATCTGTTCAGAAAGATTTAATGTCATACCTTTAACAGCAATGAAACAGTGAGCTGTGTGGTAACACACAACTTTTCATTTAGATGCACAATGAAATCCAATTTGAGAAATCACTTGATAATACTCCAATTCCTACGATCTAAAAATGTATTACCTGTTTTGTATATTAAGACTTTCTTCACAGTAATGGAGGAGACTACAGACATGCTAGAATAGATGTCACTTGGACAAATTAAATAACCCATATAGCATATATCCTGAAAAACATAACGTGAGATGTTGAAAACTTAGACTAAAATTTACTTGAGGATTAACGTTTTTAGATAGTAGAGTACAAGTTAGATGTTTTTTAATGCTTCTTAATGAAAGGTATTAATATGCCACTACTGCTACCTTCAGAGTTGAGTTTTTTACTTTTTGTTTGGAGAAAGTACTTCCCTTACAATTTGGGTCCCCAGTCCTTACTGCAGAATGTGTTGTTCCACTAGAAAGCAGGTGATTCATGTCATGTGTCCCTGTTGGCAACCTTGTACTCTGGGCAGATGGTTTTGTCCTAGCTTGTCTGATATTTGCATTTAAACCATGGTCTTATTGCTAAGTCAGCTGTTAAGACTCCAGGAGTCTCCTCAACTTAACAGTTCAGTGGGTGGAAAACAGGCTGCATGGTAGGACCCAGAGAGCTCTCATGAACAGATCTGTCGTCCTGGTGAGAAGTGTCCAGTGGTGTCCCTTAGGGGTCTGTGCTTGGACCAGTGCTTTTCAACATCAACAAGGACACGGGAAAAACTTGAAAGGGTCCAGAGAAGAACCACCCGTATGATCAGGACTTGCAAGACAAGTCATACGAGGAGAGGCTGAGTGACTTGGGCCTCTTCAGCCTACCAAAGAGAAGACTGAGAGGGGACTTGGTAGTGGCTTACTGCTACATCAAGAACTCAGTGAACACCTGTTCACCAGGGCACCCATGGGGAAGACCAAGAGCAATGGATACGAATTCCTGGAAGGCCGTTTCTGGCTTAATTCCAGGAAAAACTCCTTCACAGTCAGGGTGTCTGACTGTGGAATAGACTCCCTTCAGTGGTGGTGCAATCACCTACCTTGGAAATCTTCAAAAGGAGACTGGACAGTCACCTCGCTGTGGTCTCTTGACCCCAGTTGTCTTTTCCTGCCTAGTGCAGGGGGACTGGACCTGATGATCTACAAGGTCCCTTCCAGCCCCTAGAAATCTATGAATCTATGAATATTTCTGAAAACTGATTTAAATATAAAGCCCTCATTGTGACAACAGTAGCATATCAGAAGTTACTGCTTGGTAATGCATTCTGAAGTAACAAAAGCTACCATTTTTGCTGCATCATACAGCAAAAACAGTGTTTATTAATGAAATTTCTTATTCTGATCCCATGGTTATTCACAATATGCAGAAAAATATGATTCCACAGGCCACGTAGGAAAAGCAATTTAAATTTCAAATATGAGGCAAGTCTGTTACTATACATGGTCTGAAAAGAAGAAAAAAAAGCATGTTTACTGTCCTTTCTTCATTTAGGGAAACTAATGACTCCTCCATGTTCAGGATGTTCAAAATATGAGTATCCTACCTACAAGAAGAGAGATGACTGCTACATCAAAGTGCAGTAGATCTAAGTGCACTGAGCGTCATGCTTCTAAAACAGGGGTGGGCAAAATATGGCCCATGGGCCGGATCCAGCCCACCAGGCCATCTATCTGGCCCGTGGAGCACCAAAAAAGTTTAAAAAATAACATTTATCTGCTTCTGGCTGCCTGTCAAAGATGACAGGAGCCAGGGGCAGTAATATGCAGGGAAAGCCAGTAGGAGTCAGAGCAAGGCTGGCTGAGCCCTGCCCCCACAGTTCCCTCCCACAGAAGCCTCTGCCTGATCCATCTTTCACTGCTTCCCTGTGTGCCTGCTCCAGGACCACATGGCTTGGGCTGTATTGCCAAACCATGGGAGCATGGGGCTGTGCTGGTACCCCAGGGCCAGGAACAGGAGGGAGTGTGTATATGGGCATGAGTCCGTCCATCTGTGCAATGAGGGAGGGAGAGACAGTGTGCATCTGTGCATGTGTGTTTCCGTGCAATGAGAGGGAGAGACAGAGAGAGCAATGAGGGAAGGAGTGTGTGTGTTTGTTCATAGGGTGAATCCCACAAGCAGACCCCACCATACACATGCACCCACAGCCCCCTCACCCTGCCATATGTGAAGGCTCCCACCCCCACACACAGCCCCCACAAACCCCATACCCACCCACACCCCACATAACCACACCCACATGGTCCATCACTCTACACACCCCTATAAACCTCCTGACAGCCCCCCCACAAAACTATACCCCCCCATACCTCCCCCAGTGTACAAGAGCAGGCTTCATTTTAAGCTTTTATGCAATCACCTCTGTGTACTCTATACAAACACCAGTAAATCAGGACAAAAATATTTTTTGAAATCAAATTAATGAATGTTGTAGATGTTTGATTTTTAGAATATAATTTGGTATTTTTCTGGTTCTGAGATGGCAAAACCCCTTGCTAAAAAGGAATATTTCCTGGGGCAAAGGGAGGGACTTCTGGTGGCAAAGGCCAGGGGCTAAGGGGTGGGACTTCTGGTCCCAAGATGGTGACCTGGGGTCAGGGCACCTGTCAAGGGGTGGGGTAGCCCTCAACAGCTTGCCAAAACTCGGCAAGCGGCCCTCCGCCCAAAGTAATTGCCCACCCCTGTTCTAAAACATCTGATTGCTGATGTTTATTAACCTAATACCACATGTGAAATAGAGAAATGAGAAAGAAATATGTTGGAGATACCACATTTTGTTGACACACCTGTCCAAAATCATCAGATTTACTGACACAGCAACACAACGAATTTATGAGCTTTGTCCTGCTTTATATTACAACACCATTCTAGCATGCCCATATTTAATTAGACTGGCAGAACAAACATTAATGTCAGAAAAATCCATTTTATTTTCCTTGGGCCTATTCATGCCAGGACAGAAATAATTATCTGAAACCACTCATTGACTAAAAGTTCACTAAAAGTTCCCCATTGTTGTTTCAGGAAATAAATCACTTTTGCACATAAGCAGAATTGTTGAAATGGTCTGCATCCATATATACATACACATGCACACACACACACCACAAGATCTACAAATGCAGTTAGTTTGAGAAAGAAAATGAAAGTGGAAATGTTCCTGTTTCTACTGCTCATGCATCTCATATAGAATTACTTCACAGTAAGCTTACAGCAGTTGTTTTCATCACTCTCCTCTCCACAGCTCTCTTCCCCTCTGCATATCTTAGAAGCATGCTTACACTTCCCATTACCACAGTTAGACTCCTCTGGACTGCAGCCTGAAGCCAAAAAAAAAAAGTTAAAGCTTCCCATTAACTGTACCCATTTGACCAGGAATGAAGAAAATGTAATGGAGCATCAATACCCTGTGATATAGGTTAAGATTATTCTTTGCATCTCCTCTCATGGTCTAAGCCCTCCTTACAGAAATCTCTGTAACGAATGCATAACACATCATAGGTTTCTACATGGAAGGAGGGTTTTTGGTTGTAGCTGTGTTGGTCTAAGGACATAGGCAGGCAAGGTTCTTTGGGTAGAGGTGGTATCTTTTATTAAAACAACTGACTCATTTGGGAAAAAGTTCTTAGCAAGCGTGCAGGCAAAGCACTCTTCTGTGGGCATAGGGAGTCTGCTGTTCTGAGACATCCAAAGAATGAAAGAAGTTAAAAGTATGAAAAAAACCAGTAAGGGAAATAATGCCAAGGTAAGTAAGGGAGACACTATTATAGTTGAGTTCTCCAAGGTAGAAAAGAGGCAGTTTGGGAAAAAGCAAAACCTGGAAATTAGGAAGACAAAGGGTAGAAAAGGAAGGGAGGACAGAGAGGAGGGTTAGGAAGTGTAGATGGTAAGGTCAGGCAGGTACCTGGTGAATCAGATGTCAGATTTATGGCACATTACAACCTGCCTGACATCTGATTCATCACATAGTGCTTGACCTTACCATTTACACTCCCTTCCCCACTCTCTCCTCCTCTCCTTTTCTACCCTTTTTCTTCCTAATTTCCAGCTATTTACAAATTCTTATGCATAATACATTTTATTTCTATGGGGTATATGCAACAGTACTGAAAGTTAGTATATTAAATATTAATCCCTCTGTATTTTTAATGTTATACAGCCACCTAAGTGCCTTGGTGCACCACTTTTGTTCCATAGTAATAATTACAAACTTACCACAGTCTAATTCATCACTGCCATCTGAACAATCTTGCCTTCCATCACACCGACTGTTTAAAGGAACGCATGTTCTATCCGCACACTTAAATTGTCGAGGACAAACTAAAAGAACCAAAGATGAGGAAAAAGCCACAAAATTCTAAGATATTTAAAAACTTGTTTTGGATTGAGCCAAACACATTGTTTCCCTTTTTGACATCTTGAAATCCTTACACGCAACTTTCAAAATGATTGGCCTGAAAATTTGTTCTCTATGTGCCTGACCCAAGTCAATGTAAGTGGTTTCTCTTTCATCTCTGGATCTGCCAGGCAGAACCAACCACCACAGTTTTGTCCCACAGTTTTATTAATTTCAATCAGAAAAAAAGAACTGAGTCTACTTTTCTGTATACTTCACACAGAAGTGGGGGAAAAGGATCTAATAAACTAATTTCAGGTAGTTGTCTATTCCTTTCACATCTTGAAGAGGGGTAATCCACAGTTACACATCCTTTTTTCTATATATATCTACATGTGCCACAACATGGATCTAGGTGTTTTTACAGCAACACTTCAGTAAAATCTCAAATGATGAAAGATTGTGGATACTCAGCAGTCTATGAAGGGAGGATTTTGTTTTCTCCTAATTTGCAATTATCAGGCAGGATTGCACTGGGAGAACACAGGTCTCAGAATCCTGTACCCACATAAGCCCCACACCTTGCCAACACCCTTCACCGAGCATTCATAGGCTGCTTATATACGTGCTGGATCACATTCTAATTAGAACACATCAGAGCAGACTTGACTAATTGAGTCTGCTCCACATTCTAATTAGAAGGCCCCAGTGTAGCCTCATTATCACGCGTATAAGCCGCCACGCATTTAAAAATGGCTGCTGGGGCATTTTGTCTAAACCTCATTGAAAGCACCCTGAGGCCATTTATAAACCCATAGGGGTTTAATACATGTGACAGTGAGGCATTTTAATTAGAGTGGCTCTCTGGGAACTGCTCTAATTAAAACTCCCTCTCTGCCCCCAAGCGAAAGTATAGGCCGCCATTGTGTCTAGGTAGCTACATTACAGGACTTGCCCTACACACAGACCCATGAAGCCCACCATTCTGGTCTTCACTGGATTGGCTGTGGGTATGGCAATACACACCTAAGTGGGAGAAGAGCGTACAATGAGTGCATACCACTAGTGTAAGGAGAAAGAACTCTGTGCATTTTCTTTAAAGAACAGCATTTTTAAGCTCTTGTTCTGTACCATTCTCTATTCCATATGGCAACCCAGGCAGCCAAGGGACCCTTAGCCAATGACTCTTCAGAAACAAGAATCACCAAGGCACAGATGAAACGGCATCCCTGGAAGTTCCCAAATGCTGAAGTCTTAATGGCCATTGGTCCTGCCCATATCCTCCCAAGCTAGAACATAAAACTGGGTCCTAAACTACTGAAATACGACAACGTTAAAAACACCAACACATCAAAAGAACAGAAAAAGCAAACGAACACCTCACCAGCAAATCCAAATGAACAAAAAATGATACCACGCACAATTGTCAATCATACAGATATCTAAGGACCTGATCACAACATTCCACAATGAAGATCAATATTTGTTTTGTTAATAAAGGAGGCATCTGAAAAGGGGAGTGCAGAGGTCTTTCAAAATATCAGTCATCCGAAATGCTGACTAGAGGACAGCTGTTGACAAATTTTGAAATAAAGCAGGCAAGGTTCCCATCAAACCTTAGCCACTCCTTTAAGGGCTTATTGTTTATTCTAAACTATTCTGAAAATTAGTTCAGAACAAAATAGAAGCAATTAGTCAATTTTGAATTCACATCCTAATTAATTCATTGGGTGGCTGCTTTTATTTTGGAATAAAATTTGCTTTATGTCACTTCTGGAAATCCACAGTAAGAGCAGCCACTGCTAAGGTAATCAGGAATAGTTAATACACTTTCAAGTCACATCTTGCATTAGTCCAGATTGATATCAATGAGAAGACAAGCCCTAAATTTGCCCCTCCTCCCCTACTAGCAGCAGTGATCACAACATGGACCTTTTAAAATGTCTTGAGAATTTCATAAGCCTTCAACAAACTGGATTTGACAATTTTTTGGAGGTCCAACTATTATCTGCCAGTTAACAGAAGTTCTCTGGGAAGCCTGGAAACATTAACGTAAGAAATTATTTTGAAGGTTGTAGTCGTATTTTCTCAAAGTAATTCAGTGAAAAGTCCAATGCTTTAAACATCCAAATTCATGACAAATACTTTTACATTAATAAACTTAACTAATCTAGTGAATTAGAAGTTTATCAAGATTAAAGAAGCAAAAAAATATTAACCCCTTAAATTAAAATGCACCTGTATCCACTTACGGTCCATGTAACTGAATGCTTTGTATTCAATGTAAAAACCTCTATGAGTGACCAGTTCATCTGAATGGAAATTGATTGCAACTGAATAACCATAGTCTTTATTTCTCTGGCCTTCTGCAATAGCTTTGCAATACCTGGAAAGGGAAAAGAATCATTATAACTACATTACACTTCCATCAGATCTTAACTCTTTTTAATGTAGCGACTTTAGATTATCTTGCCAACCCAGCCTTCTTTATTATTCACCATACAAAAACACTAACATCTATGCATGGGCAATACAGTTCCAATAAAATCCATACAAATTCCCCAAAAAGTCACAGGGGTTTTAAATGAATGTGGTTCCCCTCCCACCCTGCAAGGATACTTTTCTTATCTTTGAAGTTACTGATTTTCATTGGGACAGGAAGCCAAAGAACAAGTGTGCAAGAAGGCCAACATTGAAAACTATGGCCTATCTATCTGGAGCCCTTCTAAAAAAGTCTCTTTAAAAGGTTTCCTGTTCAGTCCTGCAAACCCAAGAAGTTCAGTTTCCACTCACGGAATTCCCCTTGCATGTTAACTTGCATGTATTCCTTCCCAATGATGGACACTGGACATTTGTAAAACACTTTATATTGCCATGAAAAATGAAAGCAAACTGCAATCATTACAGATGCATTGCAACTACAAAGCAAAATTCTGAAATGACAAAGGAACTCACCCATCAGAACAGAAATCTAGTTCAAGAGGGTGGCGAAAAATCATAGCTCCAGTGGCTCAATGAAAAACCCTGCAGTGGACCTCATGGATCACCACTGGTTTCAATCAAAGTTAACCAATTAAGCACATTTTTATTGTTATGAAATAGGGACCATGCTGCCATTAGTGACAACTGTTTGCTGTTTATCCACAAGTAATAAAGTCAGAGTGAAAACGTGATAGTGTTTACAAAGCTGTACAATTCTTCACAAGAAACAGTTGAGAAATATAAGGTTTTAGTACAAAACATTTTATAGCACCAATTACATCCTCTCTCAAGATCACCAGGCAATTAGTAGAATTTGTGTAACTCACCTAACTCCATCAATTTCTAACCAGTCCTTATCACATTTACTAGATCCTGGAGACTTCTCCTGAATTTGTATTACAAGAATTTTTAGTGATAACTTATAGCCAGGCAATGGTGCCTAAAATCAAAGGGGTGAAAAACAAAAGAAAGGAGTTTTACTATGGCTAATATATATTTTCAAATTGGCTCAGTATAAAGCGGAATTCAAAAGTCATGTTCTCATCAGCAAATGATGCAGACCTTCAGAAATGCATGGATTCACACATTCTGTGGTGGCAGCTCTCTGGCACCAGGAGTTCTGGGCAGCAGAGCCAAATAAGCATAGATAAGTCCTGCGCAGTTGTATCCATGTTCATGAAGTAGAAAGCCAGCAGACAAAAAAAGCACCAGTGGTGAGCTTGGCCTAGATACAAAGCCAAGGGACAGCTGCTTTGGGACACAACACTCACTGGAAAGGCAAAACTGGATACATCCAAGTAAGGGAACTTTCTGCTGTTTCTAGTAGTGTTGGGGTGCAGCTGTCTCCATGATGGTCAGGAAATGTGAAAGGCAATGATTTTTGTGGGTGATATCTGAATGCATTGCATCCTAACTATGCAGTTGGTTCAATAAAAGATGTCACCCACAAAAGTCCTTGCCTCTGCTGTTTCTAGCATGTTTAGGGAAAAACAGAACTATACTAAAAAACACCTGAATAACATTTCAGGTTTTTCCTCCTGAAACAATTGAGCAATGCCCTCAATATGGAACACCGATCCTAACTCATGCAGCGACAGAAACTGCCATACCCTCACAGTCTAAGATGCTTTCCTATCTTGCACATCATATGTGACACTGCCAAATCCTGTCTCCTTAAGGGACAGTGGACCTTTATGCCCCTTCTCCCCTCCAAAAAGACCCCAAAACCGCAGCTGCAGCATAGGTAAGAATATTAACTGCCATCAGATTTGTTCAAAGCTGTTGCTAGCATGGTTCTCAGGATGGTTTCCTTTATTTCCTTCCTGTTTTACTACCTCAGGATGTGCAATGAAGAACTTTGCACAAAATCACTATGAATTCCAAGTGCAAGGACTTACTCTGATTATCCAGCTGCAGTCGATGCTTGGTGGATAGTAACTTGGATAATAAGGGGAGCTCACAGTCCCATTCCATGAGATGTAACGCCCGCCACATACTGGGAGAAAAAAAAAACATTAGTTAACAACACAATTACAGAAATTGCAATTACATAAGTTGCACTCAGGGGTCAGCCCATGGGCCAGATCTGGCCCACAAAGATCTGATGCAGCCCAACATGGCCACACAGCTCCACCACTGCAGTGCCTGTTTTTCTTACAGCTAAACTTACCATTACAGGTAACAAATCAGCAGCACTTGGTGAAGGGGCATGAATAGCAGGGGTTGCAGTAGGGGAAGGGGCATGGGAGGTACTTTTCCCTGATAGTAATTGTGTATATGCAGAAGCAGACATCATTAATGAACCACCTAGAGGCAGGGACAAAAAGTCACCTATGGAAAAGATGTTCTAGTTCTAACCCCAGGAAGACTAACCCTAAGAAGCAGAGGGATAGTATTCCCCAGACTCTGCTTAGGTGACTGAAACCTGCTTCAAGCAGATACAGTGTGGGTTATTAGGATGATACTTCAATATCGTTGTCTCAGGAAAAACCCAGACAGTAATGTTCTAAATTACTAGTGACTATTAAGTATGAATATGCCCATGTCAAATGTGCAACTTGATTTGATTACCTACCAATTTTAGGAACTGCTTGGAAGTAGGCTTTTAGTATGCTGTTCTCTTTTCTTTTGTCCAGTGAGAAGGTGACCAGCATTACATTACTTGATGAAGTTAACCGAACAATGGGGGGATTCCAAGCCCCTGGTACTCCACACCACCTGAGAAGCATGAAGATTTGATTAGACTGTGATTTCTATATTATTTATACTTCTGTTAAATTATATGGTAACAATGCCTAGAGCCCTGGACTCCATTGTGTTAGAGGATATACCAACAGAATAAAACAGATTTACTCCAATACTTAATACTTGGTGCTGTTTTATGCCATAGGGCCCCTCTAGATGGGCAGGTAAAGGTGAGATGGGATCTGATGTGAGAGCCACATGGTTCATGCTTCTTGCTATGCCACACATACATAGCAGGAGGCATGACTGTGGGATTATGCATTAGATCCTATCATGTCTTATTACTGGTTCAGGGGGAGCCTGGGATCATGATCCCAGGCTCTGCCTCCACCAGCAATTAGTAAACTCCCATGGCTGGGAGGCCCCTCAGCTGACCAGGCTTCTAGATGCGAGGACACCCTAGGCTTTCCTGTACCTGGGAGACTGCTGCTGATGCAGGCTTCCAGCAGTGGGAGCATCCCAGGCATTGCTGCAGCTGGGAAACTGCAGCTAATGCAGGCTTCCAGTGGTGGGGCCACCTGGGGCAGCCCTGCAGCTGGGAGCAGCCCATCAGCTATGAGCTCCTAGACCCTAGGGTGCACATGAACCCCCCCACACACCCCTAATCAGCTGACAGGGCTCCCAGGTGGCAGAGGGGCTGGCTAGGACATAAGAGTAACAAAACTATACATCCATGTGGCTGCCCCCACCCCAGCCTGGTTTGCCGGTGCTCAAACTGCTGCAGACCCAGTCGCTGTTCACATATGCATTTCTGTGCAGTAAATGACTCTGCCATAAAATAATACTGTCCCCAACAGTATTATCCTATGGTGGGGTCAATTAATTTACTGCATGCCAATAGCAGTGCACGTGTAGACGGTGATGCTTTTCTGTGGAGCTAATTAGTTAACTCTGCAGTAAAACTCACATGTAGATGCACCAACTGACCGCAGAAGGTTACTGTGTGAAATACATTTGTTGTTATCTTAACTTTTTAATCAGTTAAACGGAAATGAGTTTCATTTCCTACTCCTCTACTGAGACACTGCCTATTTAGTGTTCCCAGTTTACCTTCTCTAAAAAACATATGTTATTTAATATACTTCTATTGCATTCCTTTTTATTCATCTTTTACCAGAAATGAACAGTCTTAATTTTTCTCCACCCTTCATCATCAAATAGTCATCTTCTGATGCCCTTACATATTAGTCACCTGTTTGAGCCATTCTGTTTTTGCTCTGCCTTTTTGACATGGGACTACAAGAATGAGAGGGTGAAGACATAAAAAGGGCCTGAGAATTTACCCAAGTTGCATGCTTATGCAGTATATAATCACAGCCTTATTTCATACCCTCATAGCTAGCTTGTTGCCACGGTACATGTTCACCACTGCATTGCACAGGAGGTAAATCAGAACCATTTATGACGTGGTCATCTGCTTGGATGGGATGCCTATATAAATGCATCATGAAGAAACTAAATGCTAAGGATCATTAAGGAAGGTTTCCCTACAGTTGACTTGATAAACCAGTGGGGCTGGGGTTAAAGTACATGATGTTAACCTCAAGTCTTCATCTTCCATGTGTATAGCTACATTCTCCCTTCTCCTGCAACATGACTTACACTGCCAAGTACACAGAAAAGGATGGTCCTTCAAAACAACTCAACTGCTTTTCCTCTCACATGTCTTGGATCATGCACAAAAGCTGAAATACTCAAAGTACTAAAAACTTTTTATATCAAAGATAACACTGGATACAGCACAAATAGTATAAACCCCACAGATTATTTCCTGTCAGCTAAGAATAGTGGAAATGTATCCATACCATTTGTCCACACCATACAGGATCTATTGCAAACATTTGATGTAGTCAGATACTAGTTATTTCATAGCTGCTTAAGGTAGTGGGCATGCAAGGAAATGCATGGACTCTGTCAGTCAGCAAGGAAACAAACATACCATTCAACTTGTGCCCAACAGAGAGAGAGTAAGGCAACATGCAATAAGTTTTTCCAGAATGAGAACAGGCTGAGAAAGAAACCTCCACTTGCATATAGACTTTCTTTCCAAGTATGATTCTTTTTCTTGAGTATACTTAGTTCTTTCAGTGTACTCAAACCCTATTTTTGTAGGTTGCTATACACAAGCATCAATGCATAAGCTAGTTCCATATACCAAGTACATGAATTAAACTGGGGGAAAATGCCCTTATCCAAAGCTGTACCTGAAAATACTATGAGCTGCTTGATATTAATGAACATCTCTCTTCTGTTTGTTTTAAAGTAGTGTTATTAAAAGTAATAAGAGGGAAGTTGGTGGCCCTTGAAACTGACATCTACTCCATAAATAAAAAAGCACATCAGAGGAATTTCCTGTCATAAGCTACCCAAGTGTTCCAGTGCTAATTTGAGGGTAATTTAAAACTAACACTAATTGGTGGCTACACGATATCTGGTCTCTTTGCTGAATTCAAAGGTGAGTATTAGAACTAAATATCATTAAGATTTGCCAAGTGGATCTGTGTTAATAAGAACTGGCAAGAGCCCATCTACTTATTTTAGATAGGTTTGTGATATCAATGATACTGAATCTCAGCCACTACTAACCCTGGTTGTATTCTGAACAGACTTTTTCAAGGTGCATGATTCTCTATTTCACTGCCAGTCCCTTGAGCTATTCAACCCTCAGGCAACTGTTTTTGAATAAAGGTGTGTTCAAAAGAGCTCCTACAGGCAGTGGGTGCATGTGCTTGGGGTTTTTGTTCTTTTATTTAAGCCCAAAAGGTAGCATTTTGTGTACAGTCATACCTTGTAATGATCTTGTTCTGAAGAGGGAGGAGGAAATCATATGCTGATAATCTGTGAGATGCACAGCTCCCCGGAGTAACGCCATGCAACGTAAGAATGACAAGTCTCACGACATAGTTAGAAGGAACTCGCAGCCGCCACTGGTAAAAAGATTTCTTGGGATTCATCAAAGTCAAACTCCTGTTGTTACCAGGCTTTGCATATAGGTCAAAGGATACTGTTAAACAAAAGAGACTACATCAGCAGCTGCAAAATTCAAAACCAAGGGAGGGCAAAAAGAAATTAAACTGTGGAAGTCTCAGTATAAATCAAATGGATAGAAGCCGTCTGCAAAATAAGGCTTCATCACAACAGACATACTTCTAGATGTCAGCAGACAAGACAAGGACTGCACGTATGATGAAACTATACTGCAATACATTCTCAAACAAAACAGGTGGTCCCTTCTCCAACAAGGCTGAGGTGAAACTATGAAAATAAAAGCTTCATACAGTTGGTTTGGTCTGTAGATATGTAAAGTCTTTCAGCTGCACATCTCTAGGAGCACTTCTATGTCCTAAAAATAAGAGAATCTGTGTGCAAGGATCTGTATCCTGTAGCTTCCTCTTAACTCAAACCTTCCAATTCAGCCTGAACTCTTTCTTCTGCAAGTCTATAGGCCATTTTTGGTATATCTTTATGCTAGTAGATTAACTTAATTTTGGCAGAAACCCTACTCACATACACATTTCTCTCCTATGCCTGCCAACAAATCCCAGTACTCCATACTCCAGCATGTGCAGAGCCTGCTCTTCTTCCCATACAAAAGCACATAATTCATTCCTGAAGTGAACTGAAACCCTATTCATTTTGCTGTCAGCCTGAAAAATCTTGTTCATCCCTACCATCTTAAATTTCCACGGAATAAACGCTTTCTCCTTTGCCTCTGCCACTAGATTATTCTTTCTCTGCTTTAGTTCTAACATGAATCCATTGTCCTGAGGTCAGAGGCAAACAACCTCATGTGAAAATTAAAACCAATGGAACTGCATATTTCCAATGGTGATGGTCAATATTTTCGAAGTTGGGTGCCTAGATTTAAGCTGTTCAACCTATTAGAAGAGCTATGAAATGGCTTGCTTTCTGGGTACTAAGCAGCAATCTTTCTCAATACAAGACATGGAAAGCTGCACGTTTTCATTAACCGTGAAAATGACATGTTCCTAAATAGGTTTTAAAAGCTCAACATTAGGTATCCAAGTTTAAAAGATTTTGGAGAGCACTTGCAAAGAATTATCGCACTATTACTTAGAAAAAGCGAGTTCTTCAAGGGAGGGACTGTCCACTCCTATGTATGGACAGTGACCAAAAAAGGGGTCCCCATTCTCATTTGGTTTCTTGACTCTACTATAATTAATGCCTGGGACTCTGATCACTTTGTTGATAAAGGCACTTTTTTTGCAAGTAGTATTACTTATTATTACTTGTTATTTCATTACCTGACTTTAAGGTCACATCATACTCAGTAGCATCTGCAACTTAAATTAAAAAGGGAATATCAGTCAGATATAAGCAAGCATACATATTTTAAAAGAACTAGTAGACTTATTTTAATCAAATGCACATTTACCAAAAAGATCCATTGTAAAGCGATCAAAATTCTCTTCTACCAAAAGGCTTTCAGCAGAAGAGTTAACACTCCAAGGTACTTGCTTCCTGATTATTTCCTTCTGCTTCAGTGAGATCAGTTTTTTGAAAGAGCCAGTAATATCTTGTGGTGCCCAGAATATACTCCAGCAGTAGACTTTGAGACCATCTTCTCCTTCACTATGGGAAGGAAGGGGAGATTTATAAGAAGCTTTTATATACATTTATGTAGGCTTTTGTTGTTTTAGAGCCAAGTTTAACTAGTTTGCACACTAAACTTTAAAATTCCTGCATGATGGCTTGGTTGCATGGTTGTGTAGACTCTCTTAGTGCAAGTGTTTTTAAGTGGACAGTTTTGGAAATGGTCAAAGGTCATCCCCCACGCTCACCCCCAAAATGCATCTTTCCCACAATGAAAGGCCTGATTCCTTATGAGAAAGGTCTGCCAGAATTCAAAACAGATGAATTTGTTTCACAATCTGAGAACAAGTCTTGCATTTTTGTCAGCTTGAGGAAACAAATGATACAGAAAAATGGAAACAGATAAAATCCAGTTGGAAACTGCTTTTTAAAATTTCATCAGAGGGAGGTATAGGTTCAAAAGCAATCCTTAAACAACCCTGAAACAAACCTATAAAACAACTAAAACTTTGGTCTTGCTTGATAGGTTTTGTCAGCAAACAATAGATACAGAAAGCAAAACTCTTCAGAGAAAATACTAGGATTCCATGAAAATTACATATAGCTGTTGGTTTTAAAGTAGGCTACCAAACTTGCCTATTTTCTCTTCTTTTAATTCTGCATAACCGTCCCAGTTAAGCCATTTAAGACAAAACAAAAAAATACCAACAGATACTCAAAAACATTTCTTTAATTCAGAGTACGTGCACTTACCTAAATGCAGCAACCACTGAATTCAAGTAATATTTCCCTAAGGTAGAAGATTCATAGAATTCTGCAAACTGACAGTTAAATAATTAGAAAGACAAATATAAGACTAAAAGAAATTGGTTACATTTTTGTGTCTAATACACTTTTTAAATGGTCATAGCACAATCACCTCAGTAGTAAAGTTACATCTTGCAGATAGTGTCATCATTTTCACAGAAGATAAAAACTTTCTAATTTTAAGAGCAATAGCCACACACATATTTCTACTAAAATTTTCATTGCAATGCAGAAAAATTTTCTCTTTTACAAACAAGTGGAAGCAAATCTTTGATTTTCAGCCAGGAAAGAAGATGCCTTCTAAAGGAATTTGTAAAATTTTAAACTTAATTATGTATTTAGATTCATTACACACCATGGCAAATGTCTGGTTTATAATTCAGTCATGGATAACTCATGTTGGCCACATACAAAGCAGCTTTGAGACACTAGATTAACTCTGTTGGGAAATACAGGTTAACAGAGGGCTGCTTTGTGTTTAAAACTTCTGTTCGCATGGACCCAGGAAACTGAATTGATCTCACAAATACAAGCCATGAGAAGTGCAAGAATGCAAGCATTGTTGTGATGCTTGTAAGAGAAAACAAAAAAAGTGTGCACATTCAATTTAAACAGTACTTAAAAGTACTGACAAAGGGAAACAAATCCATGCAAAATAGTTAATATGAACATAAAAAACAAATAGAAAAGATATATGTCATGAACAGAGTAGTGGGTTTCTCTTAATATAAGATTTTGTACTTTCTCTAAGACCAGGGTGCGGCACCTGGCTACTTATATTCCCAGTGCACTACTGCAACACAACAGGTTTACAGCCTCCCAGCCACTTGTCCATCTTATCTAGCACTTGTCTTCAGCTTTGTAACTTAACTCTCTCAAACTAATCCTAGATTTCACTCATTTGAAAGAATAGAAACAATACCTGTGACTCAAAGCTTAACTTTATACTAAAGCTGGAATTTTGCAAGATGGACTTCAACCAGCGATAAGAAATGCTTCTGAGATTTCTTATTTTACACATGAGAACTTACATAACTCTGGATCATTTCTGCTTGCAATATAAATTTCTGTGACTTTGGATCAGTGAGGTCACTTGCATACGTCAGGTTTGGGATTTCTACACTTCCACCAATATAAATAAATGAGAATGCTGGAGCTAAAAATAAAAAAATAAATATAAAGGATCATGCATTAGCAGTTTAATAGACATTGTTGAAAGCATTACAGACGCTTGTGAAAGGATTAGATTAAACCTTGATATTAGTGAAAATAGGCCTCTAAGAGAAGTACATGGCTATATGGTACACACATTGAATCAAACACCTCTTAATTCAGTGACTGAAGACAATACCTTGGAAGGAACAGAACTGTATTGCTACAGGAAAAGAAAACAGGTAAGAATAAGTCAATTTCTATATGTACAGTACATTCAAATTTTTATGGTTTTAGGCTAGGATTTTTCAGGGAAATCTAAAGGAATTAGATATCTTTTGAAAACGTGCGTGGACTGAAGACAGCTAATCTAGTAGGCTCCTTTGAAAGTTGCAGCTGTCACGATTATGGTATTTGCCAGGAGAGTCAGAAGGACCATTTGCAGCTTTATTATTCTTTAATCACTGTTTATCATTTAAATCAATGCACCCACTCCCGTCTCTGCAAAATGCTATAAACAAAAAGGGAGACTCATTAATTTAGTTTTCTATAAAATGCACCTTTTCAAGCATGGTGTATTCAAATTCTCAATGCTTAGCAAAAAACACTGATAAGAGAAATGGCACTTACATAATGAATAGTGCAGGACTAGCACAAATACAGTGACTGCTAAGGAAATAATGGGTAATATTCCTAGATGCCATCTCAGCCGTTTCAAAGAAGAACACTTCAGAAATGAGCTTTCTTCTTGGGAAGACTGGACCCAATGCAGGTTTGGACTCTATTTAGGGAAAGAAAAAGGAGGAGGGCGAAATTAAATAGTCAGACAATAAAATGAGGACAGTTGTTCTGCTATACCTCTGCAATTAAAAAAAGAAAAAAAAGTTTTCTTTTAAAATTGCAAAAATATGCTTTTGCTATACCATGTGTAGAAACTTTCATAATTCTAGATTACTCATTTGCAGTTTCAATTTCTGCTGCCAACTTCAGGATACAGCAAGTTTATCATCGCCTCAGTTACGAGCAGGGTCAAATGTGTTCCCAAATAACAATACACACTATTGTTTAAAAAACTCATGGAATAACTCTTAGCTGCAGTCCCTTACCTGCCCAGACACACACTCACAATCATCAGGAGATGGTATGCTGTATACAACTGACACCCTTTTGGAAGCAACAGACTGTATCATGATGCTTGGAAGATTTGATTCCTGCAAATCAAAATTCTGAAAGAAACTTAAATTAACCTAATTGTTTTAACATCATTCAGAAGAGATGTATGTCTTCCTCTTGCTTCTTTCCTTTCACCTTCGCCATACTGCTTAGAAAGAAACAGCCGATCTGCAATCAAGGTAGGTGGGAAGGGGAAAAAGTCACCATCACTGTAACTCTTTGTATTCCTAACTAGCTCAGTAGGATATGGATTCCACAAAAATATCCCAGTTACTAGTCTTCTTTGGAAAGACATGAGCAAGATAAACTTACAGCTGGTTATGTAAAGAGGTGTGTGTGTGTCTGTGTCTGTGTCTGTGTCTGTGCATGTGTATGTGCACGCATTACACAAATGTAAACCTCAGGTTGAACTGAATATTCTACTGAACACCAGAAGGAAACCATAGGAATAGTATCAAAGGAGCAAAAGGGCTTAACTTCCATGAAGAAATTACTTCAATGACTGTAAAAATAACAATATTGTGCCTCTGCTGGGCAATATTTTTCTCAGCTTCCTAATTTATTTATTTATTTTTAAAGCAATAGCTTTATGTGGACAAAACAACAAACAAAGTGAAATTGTACCTGTGATGCAAAAAAACTAACAGTACTTCTCAGGCCCAGTTTCAATAATTAATTTTTGAAAAGTCTGAGAAATACGAAAGCCAGAAAGATTCTGTTTGAGAGCAGTTAGTCCCCTTTCAGGTTAAGGATTGCAAAACAAAAGGCAGGAAAATAATTCTCTTTCAGCCTATGGCCACCTTATAAATAGCCTGTTGATTGACTGGAATTTCTTTACTCAAGACAGAAGGAACATGTAGAAAAGCACTGGTCAAGACCACTTTTTAAATATCTTTTTTATATTACTAACCATAAGTAAATTAGAGATAAATAAAAAATGCTTGAAACCTTAATTTTGTTCAGTGCCCAATTCTGCTGCAGTTTCCACCTATTAAGATTAAAATTCACACAGATTTTTAAACACTTTTGCCTGAATAAGAAACAAGAACACGAGTGTCTTTCACAAAGCAGTATTTAAACACCCTGCAAAAGGACTTTGACATTTTCATCTGAGAACTATCACACAGGCAAACTGTGCAGTACTATCTCTATTTTGAGGACCTTGAGACATGGAAGTAAAAGTCACTTTTCTAAACGGAAGTGGGCAACTTACTACATTCAATCTTACACTTTACCTGAATGTATCTCCCTTATTTTCTTCTAGAACTAGTAGAATTTATGATTAAAATCCACTCTGAAACCTCAGGCATGTGTGTGATAATTGGCAATGTGGTTAAGAAGCTGGACACATTTTTTTAATTAAATATAACATTTAATGGAGGTTTCACCATTAATTTTGTTCCAAGTTGACCATTTCTGAATTACAAAACTGAAGGCACGTATCTGTGAATCCATGGAGCAAAATTTGACACCCTTGTGTAGACTCCAGGAAAATTTGGTCTTCCACAGCCATAGCCCCAGCTAACAATACCAGTCAAAAACCATTTCCCTTCATAATTGCTTCGACATGACAGAGGTCCACCAGAATCACCCTGAAAAATAAAAAATTTAGTTATACATGGATCTGTAATAAAAACAACAACTGAGACAAAATCCCAGTGTATTTACTTAAACTTCCACTGAGCTGAATGGAATTTTGACTAAATAATTACACAAAACCTTGTTTTTCAAAGAAACAAAGTCAAATGACAACAATACAAACAAAACTTCTCCATGTACATCAATTTATACCACAGATGACCAAGATATGGCCTATGGGCCAGATCTAGGTCATGAAATCTTGCCATCCAACCTGTGGGGAACCTCATGGATCTAAAAATTTGGCAGTGTGGCAAGTGGCGGAAGCATTACATTTCACAGTTCTTGGAACCTTAGCAATTAATGTTGCCAGTGCTCAACTTGCCACCAAATTTCCAGACCCCGGTGGGAGCCCGACAGGCCAAATCCAGACCACGGAGCCATATCATCTTGCTTGCAAGGCTATCTATGGAAGAAAAAAATCTGGTGTCAGGAAGAGTAGCAGCTGCCAGGGCTTCAGGAAACGCAGCAATGAATGTTGCCACCACCAAATGCCAGGCCCACAGGCCAGATGATGCAACTCTGCACTCCAGATCTGGTCTGCCACTGATTCAGTCTGCAGGGCTACGTGAGTTGGGCACCACTGATTTATATGCTTGTGTATTTAGTTTTTCCATCATCTATTTCTTCATGACTTGTGATCAAATTAGACTTAATTCCCTCAAACTGAGCTTAAGCTTACTACTAAAAAGTAATAACATTATTAATAATTTTATTGGAAGACATTTGAGGATTTCAAGTTATCATCCCCAGATTCAGACAGAGATGAAATTCTGTCTCTGCACACCAGGTAAAATTCTGATGTATGCACACCTTCTCCTGATTTCTTAGATAGTTTAATACATTAGCAGTAGTTGCATGCATTCCTCTGAAGGAAAAACCTAGACCCCTATATTGGTATTCCACACAAACTGGTAACATCTTAAAAATACACACACATGTCATTAAAATTTAAAACTGAGATACACAAAAAGGATGGTAAGGGACCCAATTTACCCCTATTTAAGTTAAATGTAAGTCCAAACCAATTGGAACTATTAAGCCATCATCTTCCTTTATATTATTAAAAAGTACAGTGTAGCAGCTTTTAGCTTTAAAATATTTATAAAGAAATAATAAAGCATTTAGAATTCATCATTAAAACATCTGCTGTGAAATTTATGAACCCTGACAAAGAGAATCTAGTAACGGCTTTTCTTTTTTTCCCCATCACTAGGTTATCCTACAGGTAATACTGTATGTATATTTTGGGGGGAATTTGATGATCTGTGGTATCATTCCTCCATCTTCCTGGCACAAATTTATGTCCAGGAGTAAGATTCAAGTTTGTCCTTAATTTGGTAACAGATGCCCCATAATACAAGGTACAGTAGGATAATTACTAGAGTTAGTTATAATAATTCCAATGGAAGTATCTAATCTGATTAACTCTAAATGTTGTGCACAGTTGTGTTGAATATATCTGATTTTTTGACTAGGCCATTTGACTGAATTGTAGAAGGATTTTATTTGGACTTTGTCATGATTTAGCTCACAGATTAGTCAATGATCCAACTCCAATATTATCATTAAAAACAACCAAAATAGGATGCTTTGGTGTTACTGAAGCAACATTTGAGAATTTGTATATTGCTGTAAAATTCAAAGATACAATTTTTGTCATCATTCAGGAAATTTTAAAGTGTTGGCTTTTCCTACAGAATGGAAATTCAATGACTTGATAAACTCTAGTTATTACCAGATGCCAACCGCTACCATTGACTTCAGGGAAACACATACCAGTCTTCCATGCCAGAGAAGTATAGCTGATACATATTAAATTTCCTTTCCCTGAGTTCTGGCCAGCATGCCAACCACATGGCTGCATGATTGGAGAATATTCTTCAAGTAAACAGTGCTTTAAATGCTTTTTACCTGCCTTGTCTGGCACTAATGGAAGGATAAAAAATAGGTCCAAAACTTAATCCACATTTGTATATCAGCCAGTACTGCGAAGGACTCAAAAACTCAGACAGTGAAGTTACACGTTACACTTGGACCACATGAAATCCAAGGAATTTTAAGTGGTGTTAAAGTTAGAATGCATCGTGAGCAGTTGCATGATGAAAGTTAATACCATTTCTTGCCTATACAGTTCTGAGTTGCAACTAAAGGGCTGGTGAGAAGGGGTTTGACTGGAAGCCAGGCCACCTGGGCTCTGTCCCTTCTATGGGTGGAGGCAGGAGCTCATTTTATCTCCATGGAAAAGACTGAAGATATCCTAACAAGCTAGGTAGCATGACTCAGAGTTAACCCTCAATGTTCAGGGGTGCAATTTTGAGATAACTCACTTAGCATGAGTTAACAAGCTTTAAATGTACAGAATCCTTCATTCCAAGTGCCCTTAATATGGTCTATGGGTAATCTGTAACTTCACCCAGATTATGGCTCAAGCTTTAAAGCTTAGTTTTACTCAGGAAAATGACTGGACAAGTGGAGATTACCAAACTCCATGGTTATTATCTGTCTCTCCAGATAATACATGATACATACTTTGCAGCCATCTCTTTTCCCAGACATAACCCCAGCACATAGCATCCTGGCTGTGATAAGCCCATATATTGAATGACACAGTGTTTGGTCAAAAATTTCTATTTCTGCTTTCTGCAGAATTGCTGAACCATCATCATCTGGAAAACACATTGAAATAAAATCTGATATATTAAACCCTCAAAATTATTCATGTATTTTTAAATTATGCAAAAATCTACAAAATGTTACCCACAAACAGTTTAGTCCCTCGTGCCTGGTGAAGACAATTTTAACTATAATACTGTGGGCCACAAATAAACTGTTTTGTCTGAGATGTATGCCACAGTGTCAGTTCCTTCCTTTGTACATTTACCTCTACCCAACACTGTACAGATAAGGGCCTGCTTTCATCTATGAAAGACAGCTCTGTTACGAAACAGCTTATCACTGCTACTTGTTGTTCCCATTTGTTTCCTGGCTACACTGCCCTGCATCTTGACAAAACAAATAGGGCTGTTTAGAAAATAATGGCACTTCTTGAAATGTTCTGATATTCCAAACATTTCCACTTCTTATTAGAAAGAAAATGCATCCTTTCAAGTTATGTTGTTTTGCAAGAGATTTACCCAGAGGCTTGGTGGTTAGAGCCTGAGGTTCATGTTTCTGCTTCAGAGTAATTGGGGAGGGAGAACTCTGCTATCTCTAAAATGTTTTGCAAAAGATCTGCTTTGGCTAGAAGAGAATTTAGTCATATTTTTCTACCAGATCTAACGGTAGTAACTGCTCCACTTAAACAGAAAAGAGCCTAACAATACAACTTTATCAGACTTTAAAAATAAATTAAAAAAAATTTTTTTTCCACTCTCCCTACTTTGTGTTAGTAGTGTGCAGGCTTGTTCCTCTTCATTTTGGAATTATACTAGTTTAGAAGATCAGTGAACAAGTTGACTGTCAACCTTACCCTCATTAAAAGCAAAGAAATAAAAGATATACAGGAGAAAGGAAGAAGTGTACTCTTGAGGCGCTC